CCCCCACTTCTAAGAAGCCCCTCACTCCTAGGAAGCCCCCTGGATTCCTAGAGAACTCCCTGACTCTTAGGAAGCTCCCCCACTCCTAAGATGCCCCCTGAACTCCTAGAGACCCCCCAACTCTTAGGAAAACCCCTCACTCCTAGGAAGCCCCGTGGACTCCTAAGAAGCCCCCAACTCTAGGAAGCCTCCTCATTGTTAGCAGCCCCCCACTCCTGGGAAGCCCCCACCTACCAGCTTCCCTCGCATCCGGAAGCCTGGGTTAGACAGGTGTCTTTTTCATTCAGTTGAGTAGGAATGAGAAGACAGAGCCATTCCCAGAGTCTTCTAGGACCGTGTGTCCAGCGGGCCCCGGACGTGGCATCCTGTCCCAGGGAATGCTTCCTGCTCAGCCCTGTGTGTGAGGCCCTGAAAGCTTCCTTAGCGCCCCAGAAAGGGGACCTCAGCTCTGCTGGTCTCTGAGTGTTCCCATGGCCTTGACAGCAGATGTGATGAGATCAGGTGGGACCAGCCCTGGGGCTCAGTCACCCAACGCCACCCAGCATCACCTGCAGTCACCCAGTGCCATACGGCATCACCCAGGGCCACCCGGCATCACCCAGGGCCTCCCAATGCCATCCACAATCACCTGCAGTCACCCAGTGCCATACGGCATCACCCGGCATCAGCCAGCATCACCCAGGGCCTCCCAACGCCACCCAGCATCACCTGCAGTCACCCAGCATCACCTGTAGTCACCCAGTGCCATACAGCATCACCCAGCATCACCCTGGGCCTCCCAACACCACCCAGCATCGCCTGCAGTCACCCAGCATCACCTGCAGTCACCCAGTGCCATACGGCATCACCCAGCATCACCCAGGGCCTCCCAACACCACCCAGCATCACCTGCAGTCACCCAACGTCATCCAGGGTCACCCAACATCACCCAGGACCAGGCGTTTCTGTCACTAACCCACCGTGACCACGGTTGCACTTGGAGTGTCTGGTCCACCAGTAAGGGATGGTCGGCCTCCATCTCTGAGGTTTTACTCTAGCTCTGTGGTCTGTAATCCAGCAGGAATCACTGTGCTAATCCCACATCCACACAGTAAGAGCCCGTTTTAGCAGAGGTCAGGGAATGGAGCGAAAGCAGTCACCACACTGAGGGCAAGGGGGCAGTGTGAGCCTCAGGAGAAGCAGCGGCCTAACCTGGGCCCCCAGCTCTGCAGGGGACCGCCCTGGGGGGGCACATCAGGCAGGACCCAGGCACCTATGCTCACGGCTGCTTCCTTCCACAGCCGCTTGCCGGGAGCCCTGCACCCACATCAGGACCAGAGGCCACAGAGCTCAGGTTGCATACCAGGTAGGATCCCTGCCACGGGCCAGAAGCCTCGGGCTCTGCTCCTCCACCACCTTGTCCTAGGTCCCCTGCCAAGGGGCCCTGGGGGCCTTCCTAGGCCTATCAGAGGGTGCCTCGACTGAGACCCCCAAGATGCAGCAGGCAAGTCAGGGAGCAAGGCTCTCAGGGACTGGGGCAGGTGGGTGGAGGTGGAGGCCTCAGCTCAGGGCC